TTGTTTGGACACCTTGGATGATGCTAATGCCGACAGTACTCCAACTTTCAAGCTTCATAACTCAAGATTTATTTTATAAAAAAATATTTTATTTATGCGTTTTGGAAAGTTCTCTGCTGGAGGAGATGTGCTATAAGAACATGTAATGAAAAATTGGGAGTTCGATTTAAAAAATTCAAAGTGACCTTGTCCTGACCTTGACGACGCCACTCAGGGTCAAACCAATGTTATCATCTTATGTCCCCCTCGAAGTCTGAAAATTTTTGTCTGAAACATTTTTTTGTAGCTTGCGTATTTTAGCAGATATTTGGATCCGTCGATTAAAATGACTCACCCTGTATGTATGTATGTACAAATGTATATACGTATAACGCGGTCAATATGAAATCGATTATTAACATTCCGTCATTCTTGAAAGGACTGCTTTCAAAACTATGTCATATATAATAAATATGCTAAGATCAATAATAATATAAAAATAAGTCCACAAAAAAATACATAAACATAAGCAAATGGGTCCAAAGGCAAAATACACAATTAAGTTATTGGTCTGTCAAGCCTTTAGAAATTAGAAATAGTCGCCATCCGTGCAACTCCATCAGCTCCAGCGTGAATCTTATAATTAGATACAAAAATTTTAGGATTGGGTATAATAACTAGTTAAAAAGTTAAAAATTAAATAATAAAGTTAAACACTTAATAAAGATAAAGTTAATAACTTTTAACTTAACTTAGTTAATTTTAAACGAGTTAACTATTATTTTGAACTAGTTATTTTTAAACATATATAAATTTTAACTTATTAATTTTTTCTAAGTTAAAAATTTACCTATTTAAAAAAAAAACGTTTTTATGTAAAGAAAATATTTTAGTGTTATTTTATAACACGCGATCTATAAAACGTTTTAATATCTTAGCTTTAATATCTTAGTTTTAAAATCTTGAATTTCTAACTTTATTTTGATCCAATAAAATTATTTTTTGATCTGTACACGGAAAGAATGATTTTGTTGAAAGGTCTAAAAATTTTGCTAAAAACAGATCTGAAAATAATTTTTTGTTGAATTATTAAAATAATTTGTTGAAATGTTGAAACTGATAAGTATTGCTATAAAACGATTTGATATTTTAGCAATCACTTTGACTTTTGCACAAAATTATTTTGATTATTGAACAAAAATTATTTTCAGATCTGGATTCAGCAAAATTGTTCTTTCCATGTATCCAACAAAATTTTTAGACCTTCCAACAAAATTGTTCTTTCCGTGTATCGATTTTATCACAATCTTGGATTTTGCGGAATAGTGTAAACTGCAAGGGCAACGTGACGCCTGACGGTCATGTGCTCGAGAGATGCCATAAGAGTGCCTTATATTCGATATTAGCGAGGTACGTGATACCGTCACCGCGCTAACGAAATTATACACAATTACGTCGGGTTTCTTGACGGAAGGTGCAGAACGTCGTTTTCCACGCTACGAATATGTCTTACTCCAAATATGGTAAGAAATACAATGATTAAGGCCGTTTGTTTAACGCAATTCGCGTAAAACGTTAGCAAAGTTTTCGATTTTTATTACTCTTCCTTAAGTGCACGAAAAAATAATGGTTCTTCTTGAAATAATTAATTCCTATTCAAGGAAATTAAAACTTCATGTTTTTCTTATTTATCTCTATCTTACACCTTATTTTTCTCTCTCCAAAGATTGTATTTTCTGTAAGCTTTCGGAAATTAATCGTTAATAGTATTTGGGGGGGTTTTTTTTTTACAAAACGCTGTTGCGAATTCAGTGATATTTGCGACGTTCTGGTGGATCCTTGCAACAACTGGGAATATCGTTCGGAACGAGGACATCTGCGGACCTCACAATGGCAGACGTCTGTACCTGGAGCTAGGTGAGAAGGGCATCCTCTACGCAAAGAACGTCACCTTCGTCAGAAATTTACCGAGGCAACTTATGCCGCGACTTTATTCCACGACCATCAACAGTTCTCATCACCAATGCAGCCTCGAATTGGTGACTTGTCCGTCCTGTGTAATAGTTGTCACCTTCAAAAACATCGCGCTTCCGCGTCATTGTGGCGACGGAGGAGTCGTGATGGACAGTCCATGCAGGTAGGATACATCGGTAAACACATTACGTTTTATACAGCAACATAATTTTATTTTTGTTAATACTGACGCTTTTTAAATTTAAATTATTGTCTTAATAGCGCTGAAAATGACCCAATTCGAGATCGAAACGTTCGGTTGAAATTATACATATTCATATATTTATGTCTAATTAAATTATATAAACAGTTTTGTGAACGTATATCTTGCTTTTATGTTTCTTTTTTATTTCATTTATTTATTTACTTACTATAAATATAAATATATATTGTCACTAAAATGGCCTCTGTTCTTACATATTTTAGAAGAATATAATTTCGATATTTATTTTGGTACCCATATTTTATCCAATATATACATTGTTACAAACTTCTTTTTTATTTTTACTCATCCACATTCAACAAAGTGCTATATTAATAATATGTAACAACACGTATTCTTATCATATTCTTTAAAAAGAAATATATGATATATAAACTGATAAAAAATTGATACGTAGATTCAACGAATGTAATCTGTTAAAATTTTCGTTTCAGTAACTTTGTATATTTTTTATGCTTTAAAGTAGTATAAAATATGCAATTTAGATTTAAAAAATTAAACATATTTAAATTTTAACTTGAACTTTAAACATATAAAATATATTTAAATTTTAGAGAAGACTTAAAAACACATTTAACATATGGATGCACGGGTTTGAGAAAAGATATAATGATAATGCGCATATAATTACTAAAAAATTACAGATATAATAATATAAATTAAATAAGCTGCATGCACTAACAATAAGTTAATAGTCCTTGTTATATACCTAATTTTAACGATGTTCGAATTACAGTCAGTGGCACAAGAGCGTGTTATCTGTTTCTCTTGAAAAAGAAGATTTTTGAAAAATAATTATATGATTTTGAAGTATATTATATACGCTTCGACGCATTTATATTTAATACGTCATCAAGTTGCCTCCGTTGTCGATTAAGGCTTACAATTAGAAATATCGAGGCATTTTTACAAGGTTTTTTATAAAAGTCTCGGAAACTTCAGATTATGACTTCCAAATCGAACGTAATTGATATAATAATTTCTTCAGAGTGAAGACACGCTTTTTTTTCATCTAGATTTTTATAGCATATACGTTTTCAATCGCGTTAACATCATTGCGAAAATCAGTGTTTTGTAAAAATACCATATTATGTACCCTGTATTTATTGTATTTTATCCAGTTATAACACAATAATTAAACCAAACTGAAATCTAACTTTCAAAGCATTTTAGCCTAATGTATTGCAAATATTAATATATAAGAATTTTACTCATATGACATCTATTAACAGAATTATGAATAACATGCTCTTGTGCCACTGATTGCAGTAAGCAGCTGGAAAAAGAAAATTTTACACGGAAAGAACGATTTTGCCGGAAAGATTTAAAAATTTTGCTGGCCCATCAAAATAATTTTGTTAGAAAAAATGATGACCACTGTAAAACGTTTTGATATTTTAACAATGAGTTTGAATTTCCAACAATCAAAATTATTTTATCTGTATCCAGCAAAATCATTCTTTCCGTGTATCAGTCAGTAGGACTATTACTTTAACTATTATTTTAACTTAATCCTCTCACAGATATGACTTATAAGCAGGGTTGAGTAGTGGCTGGTTAAAAAGATAAAAGTTAAGTTAAAAAGTTAAGAAGTTAAATAATTTTAACTTAACTTAGTTATATTTTAGGCTCTTAATTTTTAACTTTAAGTTAGTTATATTTTATCGGTAACTATTAACTTTTGATTTAACTTTCTTGAAGTTACATTTTTAGTCATTTTAGCTTCTTGTAAACCCAAAATAAAATACATGTCTAAGTTAGTGTCTCAAACTCAAATTTGAGAACACACATCAAGGCAATTGTAATAATATAATAAATATAGTCTGACCGCGGGAAGGAATCACTGTTGGCGGACTTTCGTGTGCATTAAATCACGTTGAAAGAAGTCCTTCGAAATTGGTCCTCTTTTCGCGGCTCGACAGAAATAAGTATAACAAATATATACTTTATTTAGAAACCCTAAAATTATAAAATGAAAAAAAATTAACTTTAACTTTTCAACGTAAAAATAATTAGGCCAAAGACGAGCAAATAAATCTAATGGATGTTCAATAATTATTTATTCATGCAATGTATCGCGATACTAGTTTCAGCCTAACTAGGCCTTTTTCAATCGCATTAATTTAAACATAAATAAATAAATAAATAAATTAACACATATTATAAAATATTACGCACTCAGTCAATAATTAAATAATTAAAAAATAAATAAACACTATCGGTGAATCTCACATGATAGATAAAATTATACATATGTAAGTCAAGTGCACGCAGTCAATAAGGTGTCAACGGAAGTTCTTGTGTGACATTAACTTTAACTTTAACTTTTCAATTACTTTTTTTTTTATTAACTTAACTTTTAACTCAGTTAATTTTATTATGGACTAACTTGTATCTTAACTAAGTTA